GAAATGATATCTCAAAGTAGTTTTAATTTGCATTTCCCTGATGATTAGTGATGTTGAGCATGTTTTCATGTACCTGTTGGCCATTTGTATGTCTTCCATTGAAAAATATCTATTCAGCTCCTTTGCCCATTTTTAAATTGGATTATTTCTTTTTTTACTACAGTTGTTTGAGTTCCTTGTATATTCTGGATATTAATCCCTTGTTGGATGTATAGTTTGCAAATATTTTCTCCCATTCTGTAGGTTATGTTTTCACTCTGTTGATTGTTCCCTTTGATGTGTAGAATCTTTTTAGTTTTATATAATATGATTTGTTTATTTTTTCCTGTGTTGCTTGTGTTTTGGGGGTCTTACTCATAAAGTCTTTGCCTGGTCCTACCTTCTAAAGTGTTTCCCCTATGTTTTCTTCTGGGAATTTTATAATTTCAGGTCTTATATTTAAGTCTTTAATCCATTTTGAGTTGATTTTGGAATATGGTGAGAGGTATGGGTCTAGTTTCATTTTCCTACACATGGATATCCAGTCTTCCCTGCACCATTAATTGAAGAGGCTTTCCTTTCCCAGTATGTGTTCTTGGTGGCTATGCTAAAGATGAGTTGGCTGTAAGTACATGGGTTGATTGGGTTTTGTTTTTGTGCCATTGATCCATGTGTCTGTTTTTATGCCATTTTTACCATGCTGTTTTGTTACTATAGCTTTGTAGTATTGTTTGAAATTAGGTGGTGCAATGCCTCCAGTTTTGTCTTGATTTTGGGGGGTTATTTTGGGGGTTTGGGGGGGTGTTGCTCAGGATTGCTTTGGCTATTCAAGGTCTTTTGTTGTTCCATATGAATTTTAGGATTCTTTTTTCTATTTTTGTGAAGAATGTCATTGGTAGAGTGTGAGATTTTGAAAGGCCATTTAAAATTTCTTATGCTAAAACAGTGATTTATTATCTTAAATAATTACTCTTGGAAATTTATATATGGAAAATTGTTCTAAAATTTTTTGGTATTGTCATGGTTTAAATTTTGCTTATCTCAGTGAATTTAGGTTTTCTTGAATTAGCCTTCAAATTACTTTATTAATAAAATGTGCTTCTCTAAAGCAATATCAGGTAATGGAATTAACAAAGATAAAAGTGGATTTGATCACAGATTCATCACTTATAAAACTACTTAAGCTACAGAATTTTTAAATTACCTTGTAAAATGTTGTTTTGAGGACTAGCAATAATATATAAAATAGTGGGCACATAACAGTGTGACTGAAAACAGTAGCTTTCTTAATCAATTTGGAGTCTTTTCACTGCAGGTATTTCTTCTAGGCTCCTATCACTTTTCTCATATTCTTTGAAAATGCAATATATATTCATTGCAGCTCAGTTGATTCTCAGGACCATTACTTTTATATCTAAGTTTTTGGTTTCAAAAGTTTTTACTTAAAATTTTTTGAAATGTATATACAGAAAGGGAAAAAATCAAAATACTACTGCTTGACTATTTTTCATTCAGACCCTCAAGTGTCCAGTATGTTTTCTCCAGCCTGCAAGACCTCCCAGAGTTCTTCTGGTTCCCTGGCTGCTCACTGCTCAGGCCAAGTGTTTTTTCTGCACTCTTTTTTTAGTTATCTATTTCTCTGCGGCATATCATCCCAAATTTTAGTGGCTTGAAACAATTTTTATCACTCACGGTGCTGGGATTAGGCAGGGGTCAGTTAGGTGGTTCTCCGTTGAGTCATTTATTTAGTTGTGATCAATGGTGACTGGATTTGGAATCATGTGAAGGCTCAATTGAGCTGTTTGTCCAAGACAGCTACTTTATACACATGTCTGCTAAGATAGCTGGATGGGATGGGAGATGACCAGACATCCTTTCTTGCCCTCTCTCTCTCTCTCTTTCTCTCCCTCCCTCCTTCCCCAGCCTCTCAGTGAGACTGGGTTGGCCTTCCTCATTGTGTGGCAGTCTCAGGTTATTCAAACTTCTCACATGGCATGTGGATCCCCTGAGTTTGTGTTCTCAAAAAGAAGGTGGAAGCTGCAAGACTACAATGACCTAATCTCTGAAGTCATACAACTTCACTTCTACCACATTCTAAAGGTCTAAATCAACTCATAGGGCCAGCCAAGATTAAAGGGGAAAGGAAAGAACTTACATCTTTTGGTCAGGGAAGTAACAAAAAGTTTACCAGTATCTTTAATCTACCACAGTCATAAATCTGAAAATACCCTCAATGGCAAAAGCAGCTACATACAATCAGTTCACTATTCCATAGTTCTTTCTACCCTTTTCACAATCTTGGCCCCTCTGGTCCTTGTTGTTTCAGCTACAATTTCACACTTTTAGTCAATGATTCTTGTGTTTTACCTGACTTTCCTAGTTGTTTTTGGAACAGTTAATTAGAAGAGGAAGTCTATCAATTACCCCTGAAGACTATCTAGTTACATTTTTTTTATCTTAATGATTTTTTGCCATATGTTTTAATAAATTCAGATCAGGATGGGTGAAGAATATTATATTATAATTTTGTGCAAATCCATGTATCATTTATTGTAAGGGCATCACTGACAAGGCTAAGTTGAAGATAAAGGTAGCTTTATAGTACCTAAAAATTGATGTTCTTATGAGCTTGAAAAAAGAAAGCACTTTGAAACAGGTTGTATTGAAGAAGGAAAAGCAATGATACAGAGAGAATTTTCAACACAGGAGACTAATGACTGGTGCATATTTGAGTAGACTAAAAAGAATTAATTGAATTATAAATCAGGAAGTCAGAGAAGTTTCAGAAGAGTAGAAATATTCATCTGCATAATACTTGGTCCCTCACAGTTTTTTCTTAGACTTTCTTCTCAATTCTCCCTATTTTACCTCAACATTATGAGACTGCACAGTTCCCATGGCTTTAATTTCCATCCATATTCTGATGACTTATTTTTTCTTTTAATTTGAATTCCCATTAAGGTAATCTAATATTTTCTTGAAAGAAATGCAAGTCTTTTGAGGGTGTCATGAAAAGACTGTTTAAAAAAAGGTAATCTAATATTTTCTTGAAAGAAATGCAAGTCTTTTGAGGGTGTCATGAAAAGACTGCTTTACTTGTTTATTTCTCAGAGTATAAATAAAGGGGTTCAACAAAGGGGCAACAGATATAGTGAGCAGAAAAACTGCCTTATTAATGCTCACTTCATCCTTTGCTGAAGGTTTGATATATATAAAGATGCAGCTGCCATAGGTGATGGAAACCACAATCATGTGGGAAGAACAGGTGGAAAAGGCTTTTTTTCTTTGCTGGGCAGAGGGTAATCTTAGAATCATCTTAATAATGTATATGTAGGACAAAACTACACAAACAAGAGTCATTATGAAAGTCAACACAGCACAGAATATAACTAGCTGCTCTATGAACCATGTATCTGAACAGGAATTCTTTAGTATTGGGGAAGCATCACAGTAAAAATGGTCAATAACAGAGTCACAAAATTCCAGATGGAGGCTCAATCCAAGAGGGGGAAGGATAATCAATAATCCAGAGACCCAACAACAGAGGACAAGATTCCTGCAGACTCTGCTGNAAGGATAATCAATAATCCAGAGACCCAACAACAGAGGACAAGATTCCTGCAGACTCTGCTGGTCATGATGGTCATGTAATGCAGGGGTTTGCAGATGGCCACATAGCGGTCATAGGACATCACAGCCAAGAGAAAAAATTCTGTAGCTCCAAAGAGGACAACAAAAAATATTTGGCTGAAGCAGGCTTTAATGGTGATGGTTTTATCCCCAGTCGATATAATATATAGGTATACGGGTACACAGGTAGTTGTGAGTGAGATTTCTAAGAAGGAGAAATTTTGAAGAAAAAAATACATAGCTGTTTTTAAATGAGAATCCACCAAGATGAGAGAAATTATGGTCAGATTTCCAATTACACTTAATGTATATGTGATAAACAGAAAGCTCTCTCTCTCTCTCTCACACACACACAAAAAAAAAACAAACAAACAACAACAAAAAAAACAGGGGGGAGGAAGATATAACAACCACATTTTTTTTGAAGTTCTTACAACAAGCAAATGGAGGGGACACACTTGAGTGGGAGGGGGGAGAGGGAGGAGGGAGGGAGGTTTCGGTGATGGGACATAATAATAAACTACATTGTATATTGACAAAATAAAAATAATTTTAAAAAAAGGTAATCTAATATTTTCTTGAAAGAAATGCAAGTCTTTTGAGGGTGTCATGAAAAGACTGCTTTACTTGTTTATTTCTCAGAGTATAAATAAAGGGGTTCAACAAAGGGGCAACAGATATAGTGAGCAGAAAAACTGCCTTATTAATGCTCACTTCATCCTTTGCTGAAGGTTTGATATATATAAAGATGCAGCTGCCATAGGTGATGGAAACCACAATCATGTGGGAAGAACAGGTGGAAAAGGCTTTTTTTCTTTGCTGGGCAGAGGGTAATCTTAGAATCATCTTAATAATGTATATGTAGGACAAAACTACACAAACAAGAGTCATTATGAAAGTCAACACAGCACAGAATATAACTAGCTGCTCTATGAACCATGTATCTGAACAGGAATTCTTTAGTATTGGGGAAGCATCACAGTAAAAATGGTCAATAACAGAGTCACAAAATTCCAGATGGAGGCTCAATCCAAGAGGGGGAAGGATAATCAATAATCCAGAGACCCAACAACAGAGGACAAGATTCCTGCAGACTCTGCTGGTCATGATGGTCATGTAATGCAGGGGTTTGCAGATGGCCACATAGCGGTCATAGGACATCACAGCCAAGAGAAAAAATTCTGTAGCTCCAAAGAGGACAACAAAAAATATTTGGCTGAAGCAGGCTTTAATGGTGATGGTTTTATCCCCAGTCGATATAATATATAGGTATACGGGTACACAGGTAGTTGTGAGTGAGATTTCTAAGAAGGAGAAATTTTGAAGAAAAAAATACATAGCTGTTTTTAAATGAGAATCCACCAAGATGAGAGAAATTATGGTCAGATTTCCAATTACACTTAATGTATATGTGATAAACAGAAAGATAAAAACCAAAATCTTTAGTTGTGGGTCATTTGTCAATCCCAGTATAATAAATGTTGTTACTGCTGTATGGTTTTTCATCACTGACTTTATACAACTGCCCAATCTTCCATAAAAGTCATAGAAATTGGACCTGAGGAATAATGTCAAAATACGACAGAATCAGACAATGTCTATAAGTACCAAGCAAACCCAGTCACATGCATTTCTTTGATAATCTGGTTTTGATGACATATGTCCTCAACTCCACTAAAATGTACCACAGAGAAGCCAAGCTTATGTAAAGTTTCTCTTAGAAATTCTCCTACAGAAATTGTTTAAAATATTCAAGGATCTGCCAATTCACAGTAATATTTTCAATTCATTTTAAGTCTACTCTTTGGTTGAGATTTTCCCAACTGGGTCAGGAGTTGACCACTCTTGAGCTGCATTTTCTCAGGTCATAGTGTCTTTATTCTCCTAAAACTTTTTATTCAATAGCTAAATCCTAAAATTCCTTTACTTTAGGTGGTGGTACCTGATAAAAATGCAATATATGGAAAATAGTGAATATATCTTACCTAGACTCTCCAGATACCTCCTCTAGTGACCTAGGCATTATTTAAAGGTCAAGTTAGATTTCTCCCAGAAAACAGTTATTCAATGGCTCTTGCTCCTAAGTTTCTCTAAATTTCTCCATTATTCCCTTGTTTTCATCTCTGCCCTCAGCAGAGAGGGCTTAGATGCATGATTAATTTAACCTAATTTGAAAAACTGGGTAAAAATTATAAATAGCTGAGGGATATCAAGACATACTTTGTCTTTCCTCTTTTATTACCCAGAAGTGTACTACATGTTTCAGTAATGCACAGGGGTTAAGTGAGGACCTTGGAGTAGTTTGTCCAGGATCAAATCATAACTCTGTCATCTACTAGCTGAACAACCTTGGGGAAATCATTTAATCTCTGTGTGTGCTCAGTTTCCTAATTTGTAAAAGAGGGTAAACAGGAGTACAAAATCATAGGGTTATGTGAGGTTTAAATAAGATAAACCATGTAGCATCCTTATGATAGTAGTTAGTACATAATAAGCATTATACATATATTTGATGTTATTTTTCTTATTTTCTGAAGCCAATCTCTGATTATCTCAAGAAGGCACTTAGCTCTACAAGAAGCATCTCTCTGTCCCTCTTTCTCACCATTAACAATTTCTTCTAATTTTCTTGACCAATTACCTCAGCATAAACATATTCTCTCATTTTCCCCTGTATTAAAAAGTAAAATAAAATAAAAATACTATTATGGGGTGATACTTCTAATTAGTTTTTTTCCTATATGGCTTCCACTCTTTTTTAAAATATCCCACAAATATCTATGAAGTGTATGTTCCCTGGGACTGAGAAAATGAAGCTCTTTTTTGCCTTGGTGAGATGGGTAATATCAGTTCCCATCAAGTACAGAGTGCCCACAGTACATTGCCAGGTTACAGACATCATGATAGAAAAAGGGACATTTGTCTGAGATTATGATGCAAATAGTTTACAAGTAGGTAGTACAGGTACTGAAAGTGAGGGGGATTAAAAAAAACTCTAAATGTTTACCAATGATAAGTGAGATAGTGGGATCTGGGTAGACAGATGGATACTTGATAAAGAAATGAGATAAAGTGACAGTAAGACTGAAGGAGAAATGGGGAAAGAGAAAAAAATTAGAAAAAAATTTCTATGTATTAATTAAATCATTGAACCTGTGATTACACCAACTTAATGATGCATAAAATGCATCCTGCCCACATTTTAAATCTGATAAAGGTTCAGGATCTCTTTAAAGAATCTCAGAAGTTATTAATTCTCTTAATAAAATATCAAAAATGAATAAATATTGAAACTGTTCATTTGCTTTACTAGCATGAAACATAATCACAAATGTCTTCTCTATAAATTATAAAGAAAAAGTGCCTGACTTGAAAACATTCCAATATTTACCTTTGACATTCTTCATTGTTTCACCTGGAAGTTGTACATCAAATACATCAAATGACCTGAGTGAGACTCACAGCTGAACAAAAACATACTAGTAAGATCACCTAAGTGCATTTTTAGCCCCTTACTTTTATGAACATATATGCAGCATAAATATACACATTGTTTATGAATGTATAAGAAATTCCATTCTAATTTAAAATAGGAAATATTTCTTTGCACTCTGGGTAACTGAAAGGAAGATAAAGTCCAAAGAACAAGGAGGAGTTAAGAAGACTCTGGCTCTGCAAAAGAGGATGTTCTGATTTTCTCTGGACAAACAGGTTTTACACTTAAGACTGTTTATTTTCTCCATCTGCAACAGGTATGAAGAAAACAACTGAATAAAAAAGTCCTTGGGGTCCTTGATTAAAAAGTCCCCAATGAATTTAAAATGAAATGTATCTTACAAAAAAAGTCCTAACCCAAGTACTAATGGGGATAATGTACTTGGAGAAAAAAAGATCGAATAATAGCAACAAAATCATAATAATAGCAACAAAATCAGTTCAAGTGTAGAAAAACAAGATTCCAATGACAAATCAGAAACCCATTTATTATTTGTTCACATATTATTTATACAATATAACAAAAAAGAAGACATTCTTCATACATAGAATTACAAACATAATACATATTTACTATAGGAAAACTCAAAAATAAGAAAAACGGAAAAAAAAATAGAAACTCTAACATCCAGATATAAACATTATTTTGGTATTTGTTCTTCCAAATATTGATAATATTAATATATAAGCACTTTACTTACTATTACCAGTTGATTATAAAGGAACAACTCAGGAACAGCCAAATGGAAGAGATGCACAGAGCAAGGTATGGGGGAAAGGGCATGGAGCCTCCATCCTCACCAGGTTCACCACCCTCCCAGCACCTCCACTTGTTCACCAACCTGGAAGTTCAATGAATCTCCTTGCTCAACAGTTTTTATAGATCATAGGTAGTTCTATTTTTAATTTTTTGAGGAGCCTCCATACTGTTTTTCATAATGGCTGTACTAATTTATATTCTTAAAAAGAGTGTGCAAGGGTTCCCTTTTCTCCACATACTCACCAGCACTTAGCATGTTTTATTCTGATAAGAGCCATTATAACAGAGCTTAATCTCCAGCCTCCCTTACCCTCGCTGGAGATCAGTGAATGGGGCTGAAATGTCAAACCTTGTAATCACTTGATCTTTCTGGTGACCAGCCCTATTCTAAGGCTATATAGAGTTCCCACCCTAAGCACCTCATTAGCATAAACTTAGGTGTGATTGAAAGGGGCTCACTATGAATAACAAAAGACACTCATAGGGACAAAAATTATATGATATTCTCAATAGATGCAAAAAAAAGCATTTGATAAAATTTAACATTGCTTTACACTTAAAACCCTCAACAAATTAGGTAGGGAAGGGACACATCTCAGCACAATATAGATCATGTATGACAAACCCACAGCCAACAGTATACTGAATGGTGAAAAGCTGGAGCTTTTTTCCTAAGAACTGGAACAAGACAAGGATAGCCACTTTCACCATTCTTATTCAATATAGTATTGAAAGTTAGCCAGAGAAATTAGGCAAGCAAATGAAATAAAGGGCATCCAAATTGGAAAGGAGAAGACCAAACTGTCC